GATTCACCGTCATTAGTTCTGTTGCTGTTACACAAAAAGTGGCCACTGTCGCAAATTATCATGAGTGTGAAACATGCTATGAAGTTCTCAACCATTCTGTGATACTGACAAATTTATATTTTCTAAATTAAAATTATTTTAAATATTTTCTGGGCTACAGAGAGAGGTAGTATGGTGCTGGTAGATGGGAGAACACAGGTTTTGGTCTCATGATCAACTACTGATGCACCCAGTCGTCTTGTTTCCTCCCAGTCTGGCTAGCAGGAAGGGTGGGGACCTTACTGGGGTGCCCAGGTGTTGGTTGGAGTGACTGGCTGATGACTCAGGTGTGGGTGTGTTGAGAGGAAGGCAGGAATCAGACTCACGCCTATTTTCTTTTTTGTATCAGAAGACATCAGTTCAGGACTCACAAAGCTGCTCCGCCTGTCACACTCATTTTTCTTCCCTTTGTGCATTCCCAGTCTCTGTAGCCTGCTGCTGGGAAACAGAATTTAATCAGTGGGCACCTGCACTGCTAATAAACCCTGCCTCCTGCTCTCCTTAGGGTCAGCAGACATGGGCATGGGGCCTCAGACAGGTATGGACATCCTCCGCTCAATGCTGTGTCTGTACTGACTCCAACAATTTTTTGCAATTAGGCTCCTGCAGCAGGTGGTTAACCCGGGGCCGGGCAGCTGGTTGTCTGCATTTAACTTCGCTGCTCGACTTGAGCTTCGCGTTCAAACCCCAGCATTCCACCGCTGTTCCCTTTCCTCTCTGTTCTTCTCTTGATGGAGGGGTATAAAGCAGAGACAATTGCTATTGATAATCTAAATCAACCTTTGCTTTTCGACACCTCACCTTGAGCAAGAAGACTATGGTGAACAAAATGAGGTCTCTAACACCCAGTAAGCAAAGAGCAAAACCAGGCATAAAAGTCAACTTTTCTGTAAAATTGTGATAGGAGAAAATGCAATCTATGAATGTTGCAGGTCACTGTTGGGGCAAAAATATCTGCTTACCTGGACTGAGGACTGTGAGCACAGATGAAGGATCAGTGGGAGAGTTTGCTTCTGTTCGGGCCACTTGGGCATTACAAATGCTTCAGAAATTTAATAGATCAGTGGCAGTTCTTTCCCTGCTCCTGCCTCTTAAGAATTTCCTTTGGTTTTTCCAATGTCTCTGGACATTTAGAAAGTTTTACTTTGGTTTATGCAGGTTACACTAATGTCTTTTAATGTATGATCTCCATGTGTTCAAGTTGGGCCAGTCTGTTTCTGTCTTGCTTTAGTAGGTGTTTTTGTACAGCTGAAGTTGAGATACGTATTAACACCTTTTCTTACACTAGCCAAGTGCAAGGGTAATATTTCAGGTTTTTTCTTGCATTGTTTGAAAGCTATAATTCAAAGAATACAAAAATAGAGCAGTTCTGTTTCAAGTGTTCGCTACTACTAGAGGACTATAGATCAGTTATAAACATTTTTAGTTGTGTTCTTTCTTTAGGGGGAAAATAAGTCATTACAACATAATGAAAAACAGATGATGTTAGACAGTAGAGTCCTGGGGATCAGAGTGCAAGGTTAATATTTCATGTTTTTCCTTGCATTGTTTGAAAGCTATAATTCCAAGAATACAAAAAATGGAGCCGTTCCATTTCAAGTGTTCGCTATTGCTAGAGGACTATAGATCAATTTTAAACATTTTTAGTTTTATTCTTTCTTTAGGGGGAAAATAAGTCATTACAACATAATGAAAAACAGATGATGTTAGATAGTAGAGTCCTGGGGATCAGTACTACAGACTTCTTGAGATCGTATACTTAACAAAAATAAAATGTGGAAGGAATTAAATGGAGAAGGTAGTAGGACCACTATCCTTTAAAAACAATGATGCAAAATTTCATCTTTTAAAATGAGTTTTGATGGCCTACACTGCAGAGGAGATCAGTGTGGCAACAGGAAAACATTTTCAAAATTGCATGGTCTCAGTTGTCAGAAAAAGGATATAGAAGCTGAAAGAAGGGAGCCAGAGAGAATAAAAAGGCTTCCAGCTTCAGCTTCGATTTGTTAATTCCAGTTTAGTTTCTTCCTCGCTGAACCTAGAGTTTAAATACTTATTTAGTCCTCCTTTGCTCAAAAATCTGGAAGACCATTAGATGTCAAGTCTCTACACCCGCAGTCAGAGACTCCTCAGGCTGTGGTATTTCTGAACCCTGCATCCCATTCGTGCTTTCGCTGGGGACTGTACAGCATCGTGATCTCATTTTTTCACTGGACTGAAAAAATTTAACGTTTTATGATTTTTCAGCCTGAGAACGGATAGTTCTTGGCGAGAATGCGGTATGTTCTGTGGTTGTGTAGTGGGGTCTGGACTATGTTTGGGTTCTGTATTTCACCTTCTCGCTTTGTAACTCAAAGTCATCTGCGGTTAATAGGCTGGTTACTCTGTGGAAAAGGTGGTGTTGCAAAACCAGAGAGAGGCCTTAGGATGTATCTTGGAGCATTTACAGTAACATTTTGAGTAAAGTTAGAAACTGGTTGATACAAGGCAGCTTCCAAGACTTACAGTTTTGGGTAGGAATCACAGAATCGCAGCATGGTTGGAGTTGCAAGGGACCTTAAAGGTCATCGAGCTCCACCCCCCCTGCCATGGGCAGGGACACCTTCCTCTAGACCAAGAAAGGAAAGGGCAAATGTGAACAAGATGAGAAAGCACGCTGGAAACTGCAGGTGATCTGCTATAGGCCAGGTTTTGGACGTATGATTTGGTGAGATGGTGCTGAATCAGAGTTGTTCTCTACCCACTGGCAAAGTCAGCACATCTGACGTCAATAAACCAAACACCCTCTCATCAGCCATTCAGTCCATAGCATGGCTGACTTAGAGAAAATAACTGTAATTTAAAAAAACACTGTAACATCAACATGGAGGTTAATTGCCGTCTCCAGCTGCATCGTTGTCTTGGCATGAAAGGTTTTTGCTGTTTCTCAGCCACATTCTGGGTCAGGGTCTGGAGTTGATTACTTGGTGCAGTGAAGAGTTCTGAAGGACAAGCATCTGCTTTTTGTTTTGTTTCATTCGATGCATCTTGGAGCAAGGCTTGTGCTTACCTTTACAGTTTCAGAGCCTGAAAGATTTCAGAGAACCATTCTTTTGTTCATCTTATTGATCTGTATGCAGTTCCTCTACAAAAGAGTTCTTTTCGTGGGTTTATATTAAAGGAATGGTTATCACCTAACGTTAAGTATATTTGTGTATATTTATGCATACAAACTTTCTAATTTCTAATTTGGCACACACAGTACTAAAGAATGTAATTTAAGAGGTGTTTTCTGAATGCTAAGGGAATGCCATGACTTATGTAGAACCTAAACCCGTTGCTAGCTTTAGACCCCTGCTCCTTTAATATCCATCATGCTTCAAGTGTCTGCGTGTGTGTATCTGTATAAAGAATCACAGAATCACAGAATCACAGAATGTTAGAGATTGGAAGGGACCTCGAAAGATCATCTAGTCCAATCCCCCTGCCGGAGCAGGACACCTAGATCAGATCACACAAGAACGCATCCAGGCGGGCTTTGAATGTCTCCAGAGAAGGAGACTTCAGAATAGTATTTGTTTCAGAAGTAGCTATTTTCCCATTGCCAGTCACTAGGGTTATTTTGGAAGTAATTTGGAATATACTGGTTGCTAATAGTGTGTTTTCTGCTTATGCCTTATCAGACTGAAATCAGTATGGCTGATGTGTGCTTTACTTTCGAGAATTACGAGAAAGCTTTTTCTCCAATTTAATTATCTTTCAAAGAAGTGTAAACTAGTATTTGGGAGTCTTTGTGGCTTTTTTTGTTTCTTTGAAAATGTTCTGTTCCTTTCGTAGGTTGAGATCGTGAGAGAATATGTGAAATGGGTGAAACACTAAATTGTGCAATAAATCAAAATCTTTATGTGAAATGATGTATTTTTTAATTACCTTGCTTAGACATATATTGAACAAAAAAACATAAGCGAGCTACGCAAGCTGGAGAAATGTCAGATAAACTATGACATGTGTAGTATTATTGCCATCTGACATATCTCAAACACGGATTTTACTCGCTCATCCTTCATTCTTTATATCTACAAGTCTAGCAGTGCACGCGTTTATATTTTATATAAAGGGCAGAGTCTGTACTCAGAGCATTTGAGTTATGCTGTTAAAAATAAATTAAGGAACAGCAGGTGAAAGTTATTCCTACACGTGAATATTCAAACTATACCTCGGATACTGTAGAAAGAATAATAAAGAGCAATGAAACTTTGGTGGGGCCAAGGTGTTGGTATGATCTGAAGTAGAAGTTTTATTGGCACAAGGTTGAGATGGTTTCCAAAACTTCCTCCAGGAGTGGCATGATCTGCTTGTATGCCCCATTGCCAAAACATTCAAGAGGTTAAGAAGCTGAGGGGGCAGTAGCACTGAGATTTTGGAAGTCTGACAGTCAGGCTCTTAATCTTGGTTCTTACACTCACGTGCTTTGGTCTCCGAGCAGGGTTTATGGTCGACAGGAGGGTGTAGGGGCTGCATAACTCGATTGAAATCTGAGAGATTTGAGTTTGTTCCTTTTCTGGCAGCCATGTCCTATGTATTCCCATTGCATAGGGCTGGTCTCACCAATGTATTTAGGCACTTTGAAGTAGTCCCTCAATTTTTTTTAATTTTTTTTTTTGTAAGAATAAAGTCTGTGACTTTCCCAATGCTTGTCTGATGGGAATCATGCTGCCATTGTTGGATACAGTGAGATTTCACTGGAATTGGGAGCATGACCACTGTTCAGGACCCTATGATGGGATTTTCAGGGAAAACTCAGGAACCAGAATACATCTGTGGAGCTGACATTAGTTCCCCTGTTGCTTTTACATTGTAAAGAGAAGAACATTCAGACCTGTGAAGCACTTAGATACCCTGTCAATATGGAAGGAGACATATTAATGGATGACTGACTTCTTTTAATGTCAATTTATTTTTTTCCTTTGTTTGCTTGACAGATCCTGTGCATGGGCCACAGAACGTAGAAGTTGTTGATATTCGCTCCCGGCAACTGACGTTGCAGTGGGAGCCCTTTGGTTACGCAGTGACCCGCTGCCACAGCTACAATCTCACTGTCCAGTACCAGTATGTGTTCAACCAGCAAAAATTTGAGGCAGAGGAGCTCATCCAAACTTCTTCTCACTACACCTTGCGAGGTCTTCGGCCCTTCATGACCATCAGGCTGAGGTTAGCCCTCTCTAACCCAGAGGGCAAAATGGAAAGTGAGGAGCTGGTGGTGCAGACTGAGGAAGACGGTAAGTCATGTTGGGTTTGCTCTCTTCCTTGGATTTTGGGGTGAAGACAAATATTTTCAAGTTGTAAATAACAACGTAACCCTTTAGAAGTCCCATGAGACTTATAAACAGCTTCTCTGACCAGTGTGTGCATTATGAATGTAAGATTTGTAGGTGTAAATAGTTCCATTCACAGCTGTGTTCTGGAAAGGTCAAGGCTCCCTGAGGTGCTTGGAAATGACAAACGCCAGTCTGAGCAGTGGCTGAACAGCGGTAGGTTTAATGCTATAGACGTCGTATTCTGAACTGCCCAGAACCCACAGAGCAGCTTCCTTTGTCACCCGGGCAAATGTCATCTTGGCATTTGTTGATTTTTCTTGTGCCTTCACATTGATGTCCCAAAAAGAAGTATGATGCCTTCCTTTGCAGAGCGTAGCTTTTCTTAGCGCTGGTCTTCTGGACACAGCTTTTTATATACGTCTCAGAAGCTAAATTCATTTGGTGCTAAATCTTCTGTTCTTGATAGAAAAGAACTGTTTTCCAGAAGTACTTATGGAAAGCTTTGAAGTGTTATTATCCCAGCTGAGCTATTTCAGACAAAGACTACAAGCCTCCAGTCTGTCTAACGTGTTAAAAAAGAAGCGTTCTCCTCTGCCAGAGCTGTAAAGAGTTGCTGTCCTGAGTTTCTGTCAGCTGGAAGCGGCTCTTGCAGTCCAGTATATCATACGGAGGGACATGAGAGGGTGGCAGATCTTTCAGATAAATGAACAGGATTTTTATCACAGGATTGCAAAGTGCATTTACTTAGTTATCTTCCACAGCATTAAAATTTTGCTTGAGTAGGTGGATTTTCTGGCTGGCCTTGTAGCCATAATGCAATATAAATCTTACATTGTTACTTTACTAAGAAAATCAATCTTCCATATTGATAAAGGTGTGCAGCCCAGGGGGATCTTTATGCCAAGGTGCAATCTGGCTGTCTGGGAGGATAGAGCTTTGCTGTTGTGTGGGCGAAGAAGGACAAATTAAATTCCCTACTCCTGCTATGCTGTAGTTTAATAAGTATGTACTGAAAGTAGCTTTGTATTTTCATGGATTCTGATTTTATTTATCATTGCTTAGACTAGAGTTGTCTTATTTGAACCAAAGGCTGAGAATAGGTCTTTGATAGTACCTGGGTGTGACAGTAGTGCTTTGGGGTGGGGTTTTTGTTGTTATGTTATTTTCCTTTTGTTTTATTTTCAGCTTTGAACTTCCTCTCTGATGGTCTCTTGGTGTCTTCTGATGTGTGTGCAACTGGAGCTGGTGGTAGCTTCTAACACAGTTTTTTGGGATTTGTTGTTTTTTTTTTTTTTTTTCTCCCCCCTGCAGTTCCTGGACCTGTTCCCTTGGAATCCATCCAGGGAGGACCTTTTGAAGAGAAGATCTATGTTCAGTGGAAGCCTCCAAATGAGACAAATGGCATCATTACACTCTATGAGGTGAGGAGAACAGATTGTCGTCAAGGAATACGTGCCACAGGGCCCTTTTCCTATGTGTTTAAGCCAATCCTGAGCTCTGAGATGTCAGCAGGTGCTAAAAGAAGCCTGATTAAAATAGATAAGAATCTTCAAGATAGTCTGCTGCTGTCACTGAAAACGTTTTCCAGTTCAAAAAAGAGAAGAGATTTCTTTACCAACATTTGTGTCAAAATGAGAGCCGTATATCCCCCCCATGTCTCAGGTGTTCAATTCTTGCCCTTTTTTCTTCTGTAGTATCCCCAAGGTCTGTTTTCTTTCCTTTTTTTCTTGAGGTAAATTTCTGTTAGGTTTTATACCTAAATGCTGCAACTAATTCCTCTCTGCCTTTCCCAATAGTCATAATTCTTCCTGGCAATCTCAGCAGCATATAGCCATTAAGTCTTATTTTATCGGGTTGTTCTTGAATGTTTGAATGATACATCTAATCTAGCCTAGCCCCACCCCTAAGCAAAATATACAGCAGGTTATAGGCTGATCACTGACCATCCTATGCTGGATGGAAAAAAAAAATTAAATGTGATTCTAGAGTGTGTCAGAGGAGTTGTTTCTTGTTAAAATGAGGAAGCATTACTGTTGTCACGCGCTTCTGGTGAGACTGCATCCATAATGTCACGTACACCCAAATATGAGGAAAAGGAGTGTAAAAGGAGGATTGCTTTAGAGGATCGTGTGAGGTGAGAGACATTCCTACAAGAGAAGGTAAAGACATTTTATTAAATTGTGGAAAACCAGTGCTGCCTGAGCATGCACATGTTTATAGATTCAGCGGTAAGATAAGAGTGAAAAAAAAAATTTGCTTTTGTGGTAATGTAGAAATCTTCAATGTGGGCTTGTACAGCATTTCCTTATACAGAGGGGCAAGAATCACTTTTTTGCTTTCTCTTTTATGCTGGGAGAATGTAAATACTTACTTTGGAAATGGCATGGGTGCAAGAAGCAATGCTGCCATCGCCAGTGAGGTTCTGCTCCTTTCCTCTTCCCATCCAGCTTCTCCGTTTGGAACAGGGTGTCTTATAACATGCCACTCGTAAATCTTCTGGCTAATGCTGGCTGTCCCTAACACAAGGATGGTCAAATGGAAAAAATTGAGCAGGTTTAACATCAGTGAGCTCTTGCTCTACAGTGTGAGCAAGAGATGGCAGCTATTTCCTGGGCTCAGATGTAACTGCACTTGGAGGTCATCTCTCCAGCTGGCTCACAAAGGGTAGGTTGAGTTTGGTATGGCAAGACTAAGTAAAGGAATAGAAGTTCCTCTTGCTAATTTTGTGTCATTTCAGCCAGGCAATAAACCTTGACTAAAGGAAGGAGTCATTTTTTGATGGGCACTGTTGAGATACTTGTGGAAATCTCCTCAGGTTCCGTAACACCTGGCTGTGCTAGAACTAGAACTAACCCTTGCAATTTCATGGTTTTTGAAGGTGTACTACAGGCTGTCCTGTGTCTGTGTAAGGGATTGCTCAATAAAGCTGTCTGTATTCTTAAAGAATGGGTCTGAATAGAATCAGTTGCAAATTCATTATTTTTCTGACAACATGGTGACCTAGAATGGAACATATTTAAAATAATCCATGTCAAATGATGCAAAAATAATTCCTTTTAATTTTTAAAGAGGCAGTTTCCTACTAAAATATTGCCTTGGGCTGAGCTCATTGAAAGGACTTAAGCAATCTGTGTTGCTTTTCTGGCTGAACAGCTGCACCGAGATACTTTGGTGCCTCCAGGGTAGTGATGCATCATGACAGAGACTTTGCCCCTCAAGTCATGTCATTGCTGGAGTCTCAGTGGAGACACAAACAAATTTTTCTTTTCTGATAATGACTCTCTGCATACTTTGCAGCTAAAGCCAAAGAGAAGTCAAGGTGAATTCAAACTCTTCCTCCTTTTCCTCCTCCCCCTCATCTCCAAAAGGATGAAAATCTAAGTGTTAAAAACCAGGAGGACCGGAGTGCTTGAAGGCTGTCATGAATGAAAATGTTTCTCTTTTCTCTCCCTTCTTACCTGTGAAAATTAATACAGAACATTCCCATTCTTGGTGGCACCCTCAGACAAATTCATCAGCTGGAGATAGAACTGCAGACGACCAGTTACCCATCACCTGGAGAGGGGGCTGGAGCATTCTCAGGGTAGCTGTCAGGCTGTTGAAGTCTGATCACAAGGAAATATGAATGCCTGGTCCAAGTAAAAGGAGATCCTGTGTTTGAAGTTGCTCAGTAAATAAAGTACAGTTCTTTACACAGAAACATCTTATCCTGCTACCTGCAATTGAAGTTTAATCTTCCTAGAAGTATTGAGAATCATTCAGTATTGTCCAGGTAGTTGCATCTTTTGTGTTGCTTGCTTAATCCCTAGCCTGCTATGATAAACCTGCACCTTCGTCCCTGCTGGTATTATTTTAGGATTTCATGCTACGTGTCTAGAACCAAAGTAATTCCTCAGTAGTAATGACCCCCAGAGTGTTATTTTAGACAGGTTCAGCCATTTTTCAGTATCATCATGACTTTACCCTGCTTTAACCAGAGTTCAGCTGACCTATTGGTTAAAGTGGAGAGAGAAGAAAAGCGCTAGTGGTTAGTCTCTGATAGGTTTTCAGTTCTTTCCTGTAGCCTACAGTACAGATCCAGATAGAAGCAGAAGGCTTTAACGACAACAGAAAAAAAAGGTCAAACTATGAACTGGTGCGGTGCTGCTTTAGTGAGGTCTCTGGAAGGAGCACAGCTCCCGAAGCCCAGCACCAGCAGTGCTGTTCCGGCAGCTGGAGGAGCCAAGAGGCTCAGGGGTTTGCTAGCAGATTTACAGCTATCTAGAAACTCTGCAGTTGTGTTGCTGTCGTTACAGAGAAACAAACCCAGGAACCTACCAACATTTATTAAAGAAAAATTCTCAGCAAAGTACAGATCAAGAAATATCATTTTATGCATTTGAGCCAGTGGTGTCAAAGTTCCGGATTACACGTGGAAGTAGCTGGCCAGATTCACATGTAGGTATCGTGCAAGTGATGGTCTCTGAAACTCCCTTGGGCACAAACCCTCTGAATAAAAACAAATTAAAAAAACCTCCTTCTCCTAAGTCATAGTTTCCTTCTTACCACCACCTTCAAGATCTGAATCATTGTATCTGCATATATTTTCTCTCCAGTTTTCTTAAAAAATTTAGTTTGTAAGCTTCTGAAATGCTACCAAATAAATACACTGTCTATTCTAGTTGCATCCCACTTGCTTTTTCTTCTGACAGATTTTCTTTTTGGATCCCCAATCATTCCTGCAGTTCCCTGCCAGGCAGATGTCCATATCGCACAAACTGCTGTTGGAGTTTGTATGCACATTGCTGAAGTGCCAACTGGGCTGCAATTCAGCAGTGCAACCTTCAGCAAGTCATTTGGCAGACAGAATCCTTAATTTGGTAATGACTGAATGCTTCTGAAGAGCCTAAACAAAATGGAAGGACCTTAATGAACCTTTCTGACTTATGCAAGTCTCTTCTGATTGATATTTATCCTTCAAAATGCTATTGTAGCGTTTTAATAAAGGCAGCGATAGCCTTGCATTTAAAACTGGCTTAAAAACCCCCTGCGTTCAGTTGGAGAATTGTTTCACTGGGTACAGCCACAGCTGGATTTTTATAAAAAGGAACCTTCTAGATCCCTAAATTGGGGTGTAATTACAGTCTGTTTCTAGGGAGCAGAAACCTCTTGTTGAAGGGAACCTTGAAAGCTCCACGAATTGCAAGTCAGTTAATCAGTATGCTGAAAGGATGAGGATATGAGCCGTGTAGAGAGCGAGTGATGGCGCAGCTCGTTCTGGAGGTGTTGGGGGGAGCACAGCGCATCAGTCACTAACACGAGCGTGTGCCGAGTTAGTAGGTGTGGGTTGGTCTGTCCAGTCCAGTCAGCCCTTGGGGAGATGCATGGGCTGCTGTTGCAAGTAAGCCGTGCAGCGGAGATAAAGCTGAAGAGCTGTGGCTATAGCCAGGTCCCCAGGTAGCATCTAGGTGTGTAGGTACTTCCATGAGCCAAGTAGATCAGTTTGTGTTCAAACGCAGCTAAACAGCAAGAATGGATTTCGCTGGTACTTCAGTTTGGGTAGAATCTCTACAGAGATGCTTTTGCATGTGACATTCATGAGAGGTGTTATTACAGCTATCTCTTGTAGCAAGCTGTGAGTGGCAGAATCTAATGGTATTGTAATAAGTCGTCTCCCCCCTTCAGTCCCCTGGAAGACTGAAAGCACCACAACTTGTTGATTTTTTTTTTTTTACCAGTCCTGAAAAGCTGCTATGTTTTAAAAATGCCTCATAATCAAATGCTGCTTATTGTGCTTATGCCATGTGGGAGTTCAGCTTCAAAGCCTTTGTGTACAAAGACATGCAAAAAAATGTTTTTCTTTTTTTTTTTCATCTAAGTGTGTGTAAAGTCAAACCACCATCAAACAGCAGAAAGAGCCATGCTGGCACTGGACTGCAGGAACAAGCAATCTAATTTAATGGACCAGCTTTGGCATTTAAATTCTCCCTTTAGATGACATGAGGTTGTCTCAAGCATTTGTTCCATCGTACACATTGAAGTGCTTCAGATAGATGTGTGGACACAGATACTTCATGCAAACTTGCATGTTGAAAATGTAAATAAAGCTTATTTATATCTGTTTCCCTTCATTTGGGCAGCTGGAAGCTTACAGGTGCACTCAGTGAGTCATGTTGGCTTTCACCTTTGCACATGAAAAAATTTATTTACAATTTATTTCTCAGAATTGTCGGTTTTTAGAATATAAGGGCAAGAGGGGAAAAAAAAAACCCCACCTACCATTCCTGTTTAAAATATTTTTCACGTTACTTGGGGAAAGGCATTGTTATAAGGTATTACAGTCCTAGAAGCATTTAAAGTGTGCCTGCAGGATACTGGTCTCCTTGGCTGGAAAAAATGACTCTGATTGTTGAAGTCCTTTCAGTGAACCATGCCTAAAGGC